GCCCGCCTGGCCAAGCCTGTCAGCCCTCCAGTCCTTCCTTGACCGACGCCAGCCTCTCCACGGGCCCACTGCTGTGCCATTTTGGAAATTCCAGCCACCACCTGGGCTGCCTGCCTCTGCCCGCCTGCCAGTTAGGGCCTGCTGAGCCGCCCATCCCTCCTAGCTGGGCAGGGCCCCCTGCAGGGAGGCAGGGCCCAGCTCCCACGTCCTGGAGACCAGCGTAGCTGCCCACGGTCTGTTCTCAGAGTCCTAATCATTCCAGAAGTATTAAATGTCGTTGCTGCAAACCTCAGCAAGCACCGTGTGAGGGACTTAATGACCACCACAGGGAGCACAGACCTTAACTTGGATCCCAGGAGAGAGGAATGGACCAAGGAAGGAAGGCGTGGCTATCTGTCTGTCCACCTATCTGTCGGTTCACGTAGGTCTGAGTCGTGGACAGAGAGATCTGTGAAGGGTGGGACCTGGGTGAGCACTGTGGGACAGGTGGGCAGGGAGGGGCCTTCCCAACTTGCAGGTGTCAGGAGCCAGGTGACCCACCTCACACCACACTGGGCAGCTGCTGCTGTGTTAGGACCGTGAGACATACACACATACCAGGCACATGCCCATGCACACACCCTCACACAGGTAGGCACGTGAGGATGCCCAGAGGGCATATATCCTGGGAGGTTGGCCTTCAAGGCTCACCCAGGCAAATGCTGGTCCCTAGTCTGTGCCTGGCTCCCTCTCCAACCCTGGCTCACCTGTGCCTACCTGAATGGCCCTGAAGAGTCTGCACAGGAAAGGGAGCTTCTCTTGCCAGTGGGGCTGGGTGACCTGGGGGCTGGTGAGTTGTAACCACTGGGTCCTCAGGAGGTTTTCATCTCCTTTTAATAAGAAAAGCTGCAGTGCCCAGCAGCCTAGACAGGGCTGGGGAGCTCCCTTAGAGGGCTTCCTCACCAGTCCTGCCCCTGGCAGCATCAACTGGCAAAGAGACTTCTCCCAAAAAACAAAACAAACATTTTTTAAAAGAAAAAAAAAAAGCTGTAAAGACTCTTGGCCAAGGGACTAGTGCGTGCTGCCTCTATTTCCTGTATGAGATTTTTGTACTCTATTTTCCTAGCCATTGTTACGTCCTTGTTTGCTGAGGGGTGGGAGCAACCCAGCGTCTCAGGGACCTGTTCCTCATCACATTGTCATAGTGTGCCTTGTGTCCCGTGTCTGGCCCTGCCCTGCCCACCACCACCAGCACATCCCTGGTGGCTCACAGGACGCCCCAGGCCTGCCCAGCAGGTACCCTCCTCACCCTGTCCCCAGGCAGCTTCCTGGGAGTGATTCGTCAGTCTTATATAGGCAACATGGCTGCTTTGTGTCACTGGCAGGGGGGATGGTGACCTCCAGTATTGCCCTCCTCATTGGCTGGCAGAGGCCTGCAGAGCAGTCTGGGACAGGCTTGTTAACCAGAGAAATAGATTCTCACCTGTTCCCCAACTCAAACCCCCTGCTCCCTGGCCTGGGGCGAGGGCTCCAGGTTTCAGACACTGGCAGCTGATGAAGACAGTGTTCATGTTGGGAGTATAGGCCAGGCATTAGGAGGCTTCTGCTAGCCCTCCATTCCTGAAGTCCTTGTCCCGGGGACCACACAGCAATACATGGGTGGCAGGCCATGAGGCTGACGAGAGCCATGCCGGTCACCCCCTCAGGTGCATTTGTAACCAATCTCGAAATTGTGGGGGAAGTTTATGTTTATCTTCAGTCATGCCAATGGACATCCCAGAACAGGTGGTCTGTTGAGGCAGAAAGGGGGCTCTGGAAACAGCTCTGGCACAGAACCTGCCCTGTGGGAGCTCAGGATAGCAGGCAGAGGGCACCTGGTACATGTGTTGGGAAGGCTGTCTAATCATCTTGCTGGGTAGTTGTGAGGAAAACCGTTGTGGGTACTTCCCCTTCTAGCCCTCCTGGGGATCTGGCATGCCTAGAAAGAGGCTTCTCCTGTTAGCCTGAGCATGTATACCAGGCTTTGGTTTCAAGCACCCCAGCACCCTCTGAGCATGGCAGGCATGGCCGTGTTAAAGAGCCTTTTGTGGGGGCCAGAACTCCAGGGCCCCTGGGATGGTCTGTGCTCTGAATTATTAAAGTATCAGCTCCCAACTCTAATTTCCTAACATCTAGTGGAGGAGTTTCTGCTCCTGTCTCTGACCAAAAGAATCCAACCTGGTTGACCAGCTATGCCCTCCACCCCCTTGGTTGACTTTCCTGGCAGCTCAGTCTGTGACTTTTCAGGCTATGGTTCCCAGGTGGCCTGGGAGTTGGCCTCACCAGTCACCCAAGGGTGCTATCCAGCTGCCTCTTCTGCCACCAGCAGGTATGAGGGAGTGCACAGGTGTGGGGGCTGGTGCTAAGAGTTACTTACATATCCATTCCCCCCTCCCCCCAGCTCCTAGCCATTTGCACAGGCTGGCTATTATTGGTAGCTAAGGGGATGTAGAGGAGGGCCCTTTTAATAACTGTGGAAAGCACACAGGACCAGAACAGGGCCAGAAGGGTGCCCTCCCACATCCATGTAGGCCAGCATGGTGCTTGATGGCTGAAATTCTGGAGCCTTAGGCTCAGATTTGCTCCCCCACCCCCATTACTAGAAAGTGGCTCCCCACGTGCTAGGTCCTGGCATAGGCTGGGCTCCCAGAGGAGGAGAAACTACAAGGTTTCATCTCTTCAGGGCCCTGGACCTGCCTCTGCAGACCTTGTTTCAGTGGCAAGATGCTTGAGTCTGTGTTCCTGGGTAGATGGAGTGGCACACCAAACTGTGACCTTAAAGACCCTCACCCTCCTATCTGTCTTAGACAATCCCCCTTATACTGGGCTAGGCAGGCTCCCTACCTACCCCTGCCTCTCTCCATCAGCTAACCTGGAACCCCTTCCCTGCTGCCTGTACGGAGGATCCTGACTCTAGGCCGGCAGGTGCCCTCCAAGCCTGCATCCAGGCAGATTCTGTGCCAGAGTCTGGGGCCATGTTGGGGGTTATGGGGGGAAGGGGGTGCTGGTGCTGGCAAGGTGGGTGCTTACAAGATCCATGCTGGGAAATGAAATGGGCCCTCCCCTACCTGTCCACTGGGTTGGGCTGTGCTGTGTTATTCTGTCATTGTAATATAAATACAGATTTTTATACCTCACCCTTCTGGCTTCTGGTTCTTTCATGACTGAGTGTTGCTTTCTTCCCTTTGGCCTCTGAGTAGAGAACCTGAGCCCACTGGTAGATCGTTTTGCCTGGCTTTGGAGGATTTGCACTCATGACCCTGCCCACAGCCTCTGCCATCTGGGAGTCCTGACAGACCAAAGTCCCTCCTCCTGCTGGCTAGCCACCACTCAGACCCTGTTGACACAGCTGCCTCCCCAGACACTGTCATGTAGAGTTGAATGAAGGTGGGTTGAGGTGGAAACCCCTGCCCCAAGGCTGTTTGAGAGCCAGATACTCTTGTTACTGGTTGTGTCCCTCGCCCTGTGGCTGGGGCATTGCCTGACCGAGGACAGTTCACCCCTTAGGGTGCTCTGCACTGGTCAGGTGCCTTCTCTGCATAGAGGATGTACTCTGAGACCTCTTCCCTAGACCTGTCCCTGGTGTACCCAGAACAACTAGGCATAGCCCCTGCCCTCCCACCCTCAGGACCTGCTGTGGAACCCCATGGCCAGTTGTGCACCTATGCTGGCAGAGAGTACAGAAGTCATGGTGGGGGTGGCTGTAAGGCTGACATGTGCAGTGGAAAGGAAGGACCTTGTTCTCTCTCAGGTAAGCAGAGGTAGTCCCAGTGGCCCCGACTGCCTACAGTTGGCGGGACCCATGTGGGAGTGAGCACTCTGATCCTCCAAGCATGCACACTTGGAAGAGTGTGGTCATAGTTACCCTGAAGAGAGAGGGAACGAGACATACTTGGGGGCTCCACCAAAGGGCAAGGGGCTGGGGCTGGGGGAGATGGAAGGGCCCACCTTGAGTGCTAGAGAGTGATGGGACTGGTAGCCAGTTTGCTGAGGATTTCCTGGGAGTGTGGGGTCAGCGGTGCACTGGAGATGGCCCAGTGGGACCTGCTGGCAGGTTTTGGGTTGACCTTGGGAGAGCATCAGCTAGGTCCTCAGGGAAGAATCAGATTTCTTTCTCTCCCCCTACCAATCTCCCAGAAGACAGCTGTAGGTGGGATTCCTGAACATGTAGGAGCCCCCCACCCCCCAGAAGGCCTTAGAGGCAGCCGGTGGAGAAATCCTAGAAAAGAAGGGAATTCCTAGGGGGAATGCAGAAAGACTGAAATTCAAGCATTAATATATTAATAAATGTGAACATTTAAATCTCATTACTGAAGGTGTGTGGGCACCAGGGGTTGTGCTGGGCTATTTGTATAATTCATGCATAGTTCATCTCAAGCAGGAAATTGAGGCTTGGGAGGTATCCCCTTTCTAGTTCACCCAGGTAGAGGATGCTGGGCTTGGTACTGAACACCTCCTCATCAAACTCTGGAAAAGCAAGCCTGATTCCCCTCCCAAATTCCACCTCCATATCCATCTTCATATTTGCTAGATTACTGTAAATGCCCTCCCCCCAAGTGGGACACCTGCCTACATCCCAACCTTCCCACTCTCTTTCTTGGCAGCCAGAATGACCTCCAACTGGCCTTGTTGCTCTCCTTTTTTTTTGGAGAGATTTTCGCTATAGGGCGCCTGTACTCACCAGACAGACAAAGAGAGACATAGAGACAGAAAGCGAGAAATCACCCCCCAGGGGGGATGGTCACACTGCAATCCTTTCTCCTCCGTTCTCCTCTCAGGATCTTGGGCACGCACACATGCACCCAGCGTGAGTTTTAAGCCACCGGGTCTGGGACGCGAACCACGGTTGACTACATGGGAGTCCAACGACACAGCCATTATGCCAACTACTGGTCCCTGGCCTTGTTGCTCTCCTCTCTAAAATCCTCTGGGTTCCTCTCACCTTGGGGATGAAACCCAAAGCCCTTCTCTCCTGTCCTTCAGCTCAACCTCACTCATCCACCCCACCTTACCCCTCACCTAATCCTCTGTACTCACTGATTTTTGGGTCTCTGGGCTTAGCTCAGGCAAGAACTCACCTGGGAAGTGGGCCCGAGTTCCCTATATCCCTCCCAACACATTTTTTTCTGGGATTATGACCACCCAAATTTGGTGCTGATCTAATCTGGGCTAATCCCAACAGCACTGTTTCACACTGTTCATTCTTCCTCTTCCAATTCCTAGCCTGTATACACTAACCTCAGGGTTATCTTTCCAAAATGTTAAGTGAGATATGCCATTTGCCAGCTCTCGAGGTGCAGTGGCTCTCAACCCCTCCTTATTACCCTCACTGTCTTCAGCCTGTCCTGAGGCCCTTTATCTCCCTGGTTCCTTGTCCCCTATCCTTCCTTAGCCCTCCAGGCCTCCTGCTCTAACCCCATCCACCTAGCCACGTTGGTGAGCTCTGTGACCTCTTTACAGGTGATGCTGACCCAAACTCACTCCTGAATTTGGAAACTGAGTTTTCACCTTTGTCACCAGGATGAAAAGCAAGCTCACTCTTCCCCCACCCTCCTTAAACCCTATGATTTTCAAATGGTCTCCTGCTTCCTTCTTAATAGTGAAGATCAAAAGGAACAATAGAAAGAAATGCCATTTTTTTGCTTAGCTGTAAACCGGAGAATCTCTCAGACCGTCTCTCACTGATTCCTGTGGTTCCTTCTGCCTCAAAACTTCCTTGTTCCCCTGAGCCAACATTCCCCTGACCTCTCATGCTACAGGAGCCTTCTATATCTCCTCTCTTGCCTCTTTTTGTCACTTGTGTTACTGCAAAATCATGCTTCTAACGCACATCTGAGAAGGCCACTGTCTACTCTGCTTAAAGACAGCTCAACCCCGTTATTTACTTGAAAAATAAAATCCTGCCACTTTAATTGAAAACTGAATCCAAAACCAAATCCTCTTGAATATTAGACGATTACTTTTTTTTTTTAGATTGTTACTTCTAAAGTTTAAAAATAGTGTGTAAAAAAGCTTTCAACAGGAAGGAAAAGCAGACAGCAAAAACATTGGATCCTTGCAACTCTGTGTTTAGGTCTGTTCAGTCAATTATTTTCTCATGGGATTTCTCAGAGACGATTGATTCCCGGGCTCCCTTCATCTTTTGACTGGACTAAAATCCAAAATGATTTCAACTGGAGGAAAGAAAACTTGTCCCGCAAATACATGTAATATATTTGCCTTTTAAAATTCCAAATACCACCTCAAGAAAACTTCCCAAGTTTGTATAGTTAAACCAAATCTGTGTAGTTAAGTCTGTATTGTGTTTTTCATTTATAAACTGAAGGCTGATACTATTATAATTTTTATTTTATATATATATGTATATACACACATATATATTTAAATTATTTTATTGAACTTTATTCATTCATTCATTTATTTATTTATTTTAATTTGACCACAGAGAGACAGAGTGAGAGAGAGAGAGAAAGTAAGAAGGCAAGCTGCCAGTTCTGGGACTTGCAGCACCGTCAGCTATGTAGGAGTCTAGCACCCTTAACCACCACGCCACCTGCTGGCCCATATATATATATATATAGTTTTTTTTTTTCTTTTCCTTTCTTTTTTTTTTTTTTTTGAGAGGTTTTTGCTATAGGGCGCGTGAACTTGCCAGACAGACAGAGACAGAGAGACAGAAAGCGAGAAATCACCCCCCAGGGGAATGGCCATGCCACAATCCCTTCTCCTCCATTCTCCTCTTGGGGTCTTGGGCACGCACACACACGCCGGGCGTGAGTTTAAGCCACTGGGTCCGGGACTTGAACCCTGGTTGACTACGTGGGGGTCCAGTGACATAGCCATTGCGCTAACTGCTGGTCCCCCTTATTTTCTTATGGTCCCACAAACACCTATTAAGCAAACATCTATTGTCAGCAATTCAAAATCAACTGGAGAATTTATGGGCCCAAGAAACTACCCAAGAGTCACTAGAAAAAGTAGGTTTCTAGACTAGCCTTGGGAGCTCTAGAGTGCTCCGCTCTGGGACTGGGGAGTCTCTGTCTATAAAGTAGTCCCTTTTCTTTCTGGCATCTTTATCTCTTAAGTCCTTCCTCACAGTTCTATAAATATCCCCAAGTTCCTCCCATTTTAAAACAAAACCAAACCAAAAATCCTCCCCAAAGTCCTACATTTCCACCCCTCTTGGTTTGTCATTTTGCTCTTTTTCTCTCTCTCTCTCCCTTACTCTTTGCCTCCTCAGCAAAATTTTCTGAAGCCACTGCCTGCACAATTCAACTTCCTCCAGGCCAAATCAACGATACTTTGCTGAATGGCCCTTCTCTTTCAAGTTTGGGTGGTGCCAAGAATCATCCTAGTCCAGCGGCTTCCACCAGGCTTCTCTGTTCTAGCCCCTCTGGTTTCTCTGTCTTCAGACTTGGCATTACTCAGTGAATTTTTTTCCCCTATAATGTTTATTTTTCAGATCATTTTAGGTTTTACTGACTTTTAAAAGGGGGAAGATAAAAAAGTTTAAGAAATTGAAGAATTAATAGAAAATAGCTTGGACTCAAGAATAACTCACAGTATCTGCTCTAAAACACTCTTATTTTCACCTTAAAAATATTAAGAAAACCTCAGAAGCAGCAGTTTTTTTAATGGCTTTGTCACTGGACTCCCATGTAGTTGACTGCAGTTGAGTCCCAGACCCTGTGGCTTAAACTCACGCTGGGCACGTGTGCGTCCATGCCCAAGATCCAGAGAGGAGAATTGGGGAGAGAAGATTGGAATGTGGCCATACCACCCCCCCCACCCCCTGCCCAGGGGTGAATTTCTCACTTTCTGTCTCTCTGTATCTCTCTCTTTCTGGCCAGCGCACGCGCACTATAGCAAAGATCTCTCAATAAAAATATTAAGAAAAACCTATCCAGGAGGACTTCTACCTAGTCACACATGATCAGAACATTGTTTTAAAAGCCACCTTAAGATAATTTGACACTTACACTTTGCCCGCACCTTGCAATTTTAGATGTTAACTTGTAGAAGACTGGTAAATTACAAATTATTTCTGAGATGTCAACGAATTCTGTCCAATATAAATGATAAGCCTTAAAGATTTGGTTTCACTGGACCATAGGATATTGATCATATTTGCATCAAATCTAACAATCTTATTTCAGTATTCTTCGTTTCATTGACTGCTTATATCATCTCCTGCATCCTCCTTGAGAATAGTGTTTCATCCTCTTTGAGTTAAATACATCTCTGACAAATGACCAATTTCCGTTTATATGTTATTATTTTTAACGTTTTGAAAATGGGATAGCAGGGGAAGTCAGCTTTTGCTTAAAGGTCAAGAGGCGGCTTGGGGATTAAGTGCTTTTGTAAAACAATGCTTATTGTAAAATATCCTAAAGCAAATAATCGCTAATCCTTCAACCGTACCAGGTACTGCAGATTGCTGCAGATGTGTGAACTCGTTTTCTGGTAGAAGGGCACTACTGTTGCCCCATTTGACGGGCGGGGTCTCTGGCCCCACCGCCAGGATGCACCAGGGTTGCAAGTTGGGCCAGACCCTCGCTCCAGTCCATGCCGTTAACCACTAATCTAGGCCTTTCCTTTTCTCCCTAAAAGTGCCATTAGAGAGTCTGGATTACGACGGCAACAGAACTGTAAATAGAACGGAAAGTTAAACTGTGAGTGCAAGAGGCGCAGAGAGCACAGCGCAGTGAGGGAAATAGAACGCGCGAGGGGAAGGCAGGGAACTAGGGTCCCACCCTGCAGCTAAAGGAGTTGCCCTCACTCGGCCGGGCAGATGGGCTTGCAAGTGCACGGAGGGAGCCAATCAGATCGCTTTTCTTCTCAGCTCCACCCCAAAGTCTGGTTTGTGGGCCTCGCCTCTTCCTAGTCTACGCCTGCGCAGACAGGCGTCTCACGCCCCTCGCCGCTCCTCTGCGCGCGCGCGTGTCAGGGCGCTCCCGTCAGGCAGTTCGGGGCGCGCGAGACTCGGAGCGCTGTGGCGTCGGTCGGATCCTGTGAGGAAGCGAGCAGGAATTTTCTGAGGTAAGGGGCGCTGGCGTTGAGTCTTGGTGTCCGGGACGTGAGGCTGTGAGGCTGTAGCGGCAGCAGTGATCCCTGTCTGCATTCCGCTGCTTCTTCCTTAGGAATTTCAGCTGTCCGCGCGTCGCGAGGAACCAGAGCCGAAGCGGGGCTGTCGCGGGCCCGGGGCTGCGGCGGGGCGCCAGGGGTCTCCCGGGGGTTTTCAGCCGAGAGAGTGGGGCGGTCCTTACCTCCGTGGAGCCAGTTGCTTTTCTGGAGCTTGTGCAGCTTTTTTAAACGCTGATTTGGTGCTTTCGGCGCATATTTTATTAACGTACGTCATAACTGGATTACACACACACAGGTAAAAGCACGGATTTTGCCACTAGTATGTCATGTGTATCGTGATTTAATGGCTGTTAACCCCTAGAACTTGTCACCATCACTAATGTTCACTTGACTAAAACGTAGTGGATTAGTCTGTGGTGCATTTGTTGAAAATAACATGCCTGACATGTTTTTACGTGAGTGTTCAGTTGTATGGTACTCCTTCAGTTGAAGGTAGTTCTTATACCTGAAGTCTCATGTTCTCTACACTAAGCATATTTCATCTGGACGTTGATGTGAGTGCTAAATTAGTCATCAAGGTAAATATTCAGTTGATTATTTAAAAAAATCGCTATATTTCTATTTTCTTACTTAGGAAAGGTAGGGAAAAGAGGCTGTTTAACCACGTGTTAGATTGGGTTTGTTTGAAGTAATTTACTTTAAAAACTGAACTGTTGGTTTGTAAAATGTAATGTATTTTAAACCATTGTCTTTGGAAAAAGTAAGTTTTTATGTTACTTAGGTTTTTGTTGCTTTGTAGTTTTCCTCATTGCATGTGTTTCTCTTTATTTTCATCATATATTGCAACCACAACTACCTTTCAGTTAGCTGGCTCCCAAACATCTCCTGATATTTATCTGTATCTTTCTAAAAATATAGTAGCCTTATTTGTGATCTAATACTTGTTTTCTTACCCCCTAGGAGGAACCGTAGATTCTAATTTTTTTCCTTTCTCTATGGACTTAAAATAAAAATAATTTTGTTTCTATTTGGATTTATTTTCTAAAGATTACCAACATAAACCCATATCAGATACAAAACCAATCTGAGGTAGTTAAACCATGAGTTGTGGAAATGAGTTTGTAGAAACATTAAAAAAAATTGGTTATCCCAAAGCTGATATTCTTAATGGAGAAGATTTTGACTGGTTGTTTGAGACTGTTGAAGATGAATCATTTCTGAAGTGGTTTTGTGGAAATGTGAATGAACAGAATGTATTGTCCAGAAAAGAATTGGAAGCTTTTAACATTCTTCAAAAATCAGGCAAGCCCATTCTAGAAGGGGCAGCACTAGATGAAGTTCTTAAAACCTGTAAAACTTCTGATTTGAAGACATCTAGACCGGATAGCAAAGAACTGGAGAAATTAGAAGATGAGGTTCAAACTCTGCAGAAATTGAAGAACTTAAAAATACAGCGACGTAATAAATGCCAGCTGATGGCTTCAGTAGCTAGCCACAAATCTTTGAGGTTAAATGCTCTGGAAGAAGAAGCCACTCGGAAGCTGAAGCAGAGTCAAGGAATTCTAAATGCTGTGAATACTAAGATCAATAGTGAACTTCAGGCCATTATTGATGTAGTTACAAAATTGATGATGTTCTTTAGACATTCTGATTTAGGTCAAGGAACAAATCCACTGGTGTTTTTATCTCATTTTTCCCTGGAAAAGTATCTAAACCAGGAAGAGCAAAGCACAGCAGCGTTAACCTTATATACCAAAAAGCAGATCTTTCAAGGTATACATGAAGTAGTTAAAAGTTCAAATGAAGAACATTTTCAACTTTTGCATATACAAACACCATCTATTTGTGATAATCAAGAAATCCTTGAAGAGAGACGACTAGAGATGGCTAAGCTACAGCTAGCATACATTTGTGTGCAACATCAGTTAATTCACTTGAAAACAAGTAATTCAAGCATGAAGTCAAGTATAAAATGGGCCGAGGAGAATCTTCATAGCCTAACTTGCAAGGTAAATATAAGTAACGAGACTAAATTTGTATTGTAATTGTTGTTAGGAATGGAGAATATAATAATGCTATTAAGGCACTTTGGAAAGGGGAATCTAATATAAAATGAACAGTTTTTAATTTTCTCTTTATTCAGTGCTTATTTGTGATAAATGTTTCATACAAATAGAGCCTTTATTAATGAATGGTAGAAATAGCAATTATAACCTCAGCCACATTATTTAGTGTATTTTAAACAAAAGTGCTTTACTTTGCATTCTCCTTTTGAAATTTGTTAATTCAGATACATACTAAACTGAAATTTTCATTTTATGATGAATGAGTAAAGAGACTAATTGCTTTATTATGAGTATTCTGCCTAGTTTACTCTGACATAGAACTAATGAAGTCAAAGGTCCACGTTCAGTGGACTGAAACCCTGATTCCTTTTTGAGCGTGTGTAGATATGTTGAAGATGATCTCTGCACTCTTAGAAAGCTTGCTTTCTTGGTAACATAATAGTTAGTTGAATAGATTATTGAATAGAAATGTAGCTTTAGGGGACCAGCAGGTGGTGTGGTGGTTAAGGCGCTGGACATTCCCACATGGCTGACCATGGTTCAAGTCCTGGACCTGGTGGCTTGCTTTCTCACTTTCTCTTTCTCTCTGTGTCTCTCTCTGGTCAAAATAAAATAAGTAAATAAATAAATAAAATTCAAAATAATTAAAAAAAAAGAAATGTAGCTTTAGTTACATTAGGTACTTGAATAAAAATGCAATTTTTCTGAATCAGAACACCAGCACCAAGTTAGTTACTATAACTGATTGTGGAATAACAGGAACTCTTATACTTTTGTAGAAGTGTTAAAATCAACTGACCAGGAAAATACCTTCTGAGACAATTGGTTTTTTTTGAGAGATTTTTTTCTGTTAGAGCACAATTGCTCACCGAAGAGAGAGACAGAAAGCAGAAATCATCCCCTTTGGGGGGATGACTATGCTGCAGCCCCACCTCCTCCATTCTCTTCTTGGGGAGTTTCAAGCCACTGGACCTGGGACTTGAACCATGATCCACTATGTGGTCCAGCATTTAACCTCTGTGCCACCTGCTGGCCCAACCTTCTGAGTTAATTTTAACTTTAAGAAAAGTTTAGGGCCAGCCCTATGACCTAGTGGTTATAGTAGCAGATCTCATATAGCCAACTGTGGTTCAAATCCTGGCCCTGGCAGCTTGAAAAACATACTGAGAACATGTGTATGCTTGCCTAAAATTCTGACAGGATGCAAAGATGTAGTAGGGTTTGTATCAATCACCCCCAGACGGGTGATTTTTCACTTTCCCTTTCTCTCTCTTTGTCTCTCTCTAGTGAGCACATATGCCTTACAGCAAATTAAAAAATAACAACAAAATTAAATAATTCTTTTAAAAGATACTTTTATAACTATTTCAAGCTTAGACATATTTTAAGTTTAGACCTTTTATAAATATTTCAGATGTGAAATGTTATTACTTTTCTTTGTGTAGGCTGTTAGCAAAGAAAATTTGGATGCCAAAATTTCTGGCTTGAACAATGAGATTCTGAAACTTGAAGAACAAATCGCTCACATGAAGCACAGAAGTTTGCCTGCTATAATAAAAGAGAATGCCCAGTTACTGAATATGCCAGTTGTAAAGGGAGATTTTGATCTGCAGATTGCTAAACAAGATTATTATACAGCAAGACAAGAGTTAGTTTTAAATCAGTTGATAAAGCAAAAGGCGTCATTTGAACTTCTGCAGTTATCATATGAAATCGAATTGAGAAAGCATTGGGACATATATCGTCAACTTGAAAATTTGGTTCAGGAACTTAGTCAAAGTAACATAGTGCTCCTCCAGCGATTAGAAATGTTAACAGATCCATCAGTCTCTCAGCAGATAAATCTAAGGAATACTATTGATACTAAGGATCATTCTACTCATAGGTATGTATGCTTCATTGTTTCTGTAGTTTTTAAATTTTTGTGAGATACGAGAATTTGAACTAAAATCGTGAAAGTTCAAACAGTTCTTTGCACTTCATTTTTTTCTTTAGTGCAAGAGCAGTTGGCAATATCTGCTCAAGAGCATTCTTTCTTTCTGTCCAAACTGAACAGTGATGTAGATACACTTTGTGATGCTTTGTATCAAGGAGGAAATGAGCTTTTGCTTAGTGATCAGGAGTTCATGGAGCAGTTTCATCAAGTTGAATCTCAATGGAATAGGCTCAATCCTCTCCTTACTGATATTCTTGCTAATGTGAAGACAAAAAGAAAAATGTTGGCATATAGTAAATTTCATCAAATGGAGAGAGAATTATATGTATATTTTTTAAAAGATGAAGCTTATCTGAAAGATATTGTGGAGAATTTAGAAAACCAATCAAAGATTAAGACTGTTGCCATTGAAGATTGAAAATGATTAAAAACGGAATCTTTTCTATACATGCTGTTTTTTAATGTTTTATGTATTACTAGAAGGAATACACATCTAATAAACACTAAACTTTAAAATTTGAGGTCAAGAGAGTGCTTTATTTAGTTGATTTGTGTGTGCCAGATTGTTCCCCCCCATAACACGTTTGTTCAAAGTGCCTGTGCTTTTATGACTTGAACATTTGCTTGGTAGCACTTAGTGTCATTTTTTACTTATAGGGAAAATTGAAAATTATTAAAAACTGAATCTTTTCTATACATGCTATTTTTTTAATGTTTTATGTATTACTAGAAAGAATACATATCTAATAAACACTAAATTTAAAAAAAAAAAAAAAAAAGAAAGAAAGGCCTACAGATTGATCCAGGAGTAATTACGCTCATTAATGAGATCCACACTCTTCTGTATCAGGCACAGCAATAGTTAGCATCCAGCTGTTGGTTCTGCATCCAAACAGCCATTCCCTGCATATATGCCACTCCAACCTGCACTACAAATGACACCCCAATTGTTAATCTGGCTTCTTTCATTCCATTTCTTTCTTTTTTTTTTCTTTGAGAGGTTTTTGCTATAGGGTTCATGCGTTCACCAGAAAGAAAGAGATAGAAACCAAGAAATCACCCCCCCAGGAGAATGGCCACACCACAATCCCTTCTCCTCCACCTCCTCTTAGGATCTTTGGCACATACTCACACGTGCCCGGTGTGAGTGTAAGCCACTGGGTTCGAGAATCGAACTGTAGTCAACTACATAGGAGTCCAGCAACATAGCCATTACACCAACTGCACGTCCTGTTAATCTGATTCAGTACAGGAGGGACCAATCTCCCAAGTGCACCTCTCTTCCAAGCCCCAAGGCAGTTTACAAATCAAGGTTCCATTGCAGTAGGTAATATGACCTGCCACAGCACAAATCCAGAAAACAGGACCTCCACCTGCTCTCAGTACCTGGGGTTCCACCTCGTAGATGGGCCCCATGCTTACGAGAGCCTTCAGCAAGCTGGTCTGACACCTGTAAGATTACCCCCAGAGATAGGAAAATGGAAAACACTCGTCAATCACACATGTGCAATAACACATGTTTACACTGGCCATCTTTCAAGGACCCAAACTTCACTGGCCATTTCCACATAAGGCCAAGACCCTGGGCATCTCTTAGATGGAAAGAAGGTAACAGGTTGCTTATGGAGAAGAGAGGAAGAGGATTACTGATAGAGGGTGCCCCAAACAATCTCCAAAAGGTCACTTATGTTAGTGACAATAATGACCTAATTCACGAAGCCTCTTCATTAAGAGTGAAGACTTTCCAAAGGGGCATAGAATAGGGAACATCCTTCCCAGTGACCTCCCCAAATTCACTCCCACAGAAGGACTAAGAAAGTCTAAGGCTCTTGTGGCCACAGATAGTTCCTACCAATGACCAGTTAACGAAGAACTGACAGCAAAAGCCCTTACGTGTGCCCTGTGAAATCCTACATGGGTTGTGTTCCCAGTCTTTTCAGGAGGGTCACCTGTAAATAATGCTCTTGAGATGGCAGGACCGAGAGAGAACTCCCATTAGGTCACAGATCAAGCTCTCACAAATGTAACAGGACAGAAGAATCTCATCCGATCTTTGGAGGGGACCCACAGCAAAGTTAGTTCAGATGGATTCTAACCTGATGAAAACTACAAAATGTGCCCACCTGTGGGGTCCAGCTGGAACAATGGCTTTCATGACCTCTAGGGCTGTTTCTGCCTCCTTAGGACTTCTGACACAAACATAGAGACCATTTCCAGTTGGAAAAAACAGGCAATGAGTACTCACACCAGAAAAGAACTCCCATTAGGTCACAGATCAAGCTCTCACAAATGTAACAGGACAGAAGAATCTCATCTGATCTTTGGAGGGGACCCACAGCAAAGTTAGTTCAGATGGATTCTAACCTGATGAAAACTACAAAATGTGCCCACCTGTGGGGTCCAGCTGGAACAATGGCTTTCATGACCTCTAGGGCTGTTTCTGCCTCCTTAGGACTTCTGACACAAACATAGAGACCATTTCCAGTTGGAAAAAACAGGCAATGAGTACTCACACCAGAAAAACACTACAGGGACCAGCAGATGGTGCAGCAGTTATGTTACTGGGTTCTCACAAGACTGACTAAGGTTCGAGGCTCAGAGCCAGTGGCTTGAAAATCACATCAGCCTCATGTGCATGTGTGCCCAGGATCCTGGGAGAGGAGTGGAGAAGGGATTGTGGCATAGTCATCACCCCTTTCTCAGAGGGGGGGTGATCTCTCACTTTCCCTCTCACCATCTCTCTCTCTCTCTCTCTCTCTCTAAAGAATGCATGCAACCACCCTAAGGCAAAAACCACTGAAAAACAAACAAAAAGAAAAAACACTATAGTCACTATACCCAGGCAGCTCTACCTATTTCAAACAAATCCATTTCTCCCAATAATATTCATTTAGAAAAGAAACTAAACAATTACTTTTTTTTCCTTTTTTTTTGGGGGGGGGGAGAGGTTGTTATAGGGAACGTGTTCTCACCAGACAGACAGAGAGACCGAGAGAGTGGGGCGGTCCTTACCTCCGTGGAGCCAGTTGCTTTTCTGGAGCTTGTGCAGCTTTTTTAAACGCTGATTTGGTGCTTTCGGCGCATATTTTATTAACGTACGTCATAACTGGATTACACACACACAGGTAAAAGCACGGATTTTGCCACTAGTATGTCATGTGTATCGTGATTTAATGGCTGTTAACCCCTAGAACTTGTCACCATCACTAATGTTCACTTGACTAAAACGTAGTGGATTAGTCTGTGGTGCATTTGTTGAAAATAACATGCCTGACATGTTTTTACGTGAGTGTTCAGTTGTATGGTACTCCTTCAGTTGAAGGTAGTTCTTATACCTGAAGTCTCATGTTCTCTACACTAAGCATATTTCATCTGGACGTTGATGTGAGTGCTAAATTAGTCATCAAGGTAAATATTCAGTTGATTATTTAAAAAAATCGCTATATTTCTATTTTCTTACTTAGGAAAGGTAGGGAAAAGAGGCTGTTTAACCACGTGTTAGATTGGGTTTGTTTGAAGTAATTTACTTTAAAAACTGAACTGTTGGTTTGTAAAATGTAATGTATTTTAAACCATTGTCTTTGGAAAAAGTAAGTTTTTATGTTACTTAGGTTTTTGTTGCTTTGTAGTTTTCCTCATTGCATGTGTTTCTCTTTATTTTCATCATATATTGCAACCACAACTACCTTTCAGTTAGCTGGCTCCCAAACATCTCCTGATATTTATCTGTATCTTTCTAAAAATATAGTAGCCTTATTTGTGATCTAATACTTGTTTTCTTACCCCCTAGGAGGAACCGTAGATTCTAATTTTTTTCCTTTCTCTATGGACTTAAAATAAAAATAATTTTGTTTCTATTTGGATTTATTTTCTAAAGATTACCAACATAAACCCATATCAGATACAAAACCAATCTGAGGTAGTTAAACCATGAGTTGTGGAAATGAGTTTGTAGAAACATTAAAAAAAATTGGTTATCCCAAAGCTGATATTCTTAATGGAGAAGATTTTGACTGGTTGTTTGAGACTGTTGAAGATGAATCATTTCTGAAGTGGTTTTGTGGAAATGTGAATGAACAGAATGTATTGTCCAGAAAAGAATTGGAAGCTTTTAACATTCTTCAAAAATCAGGCAAGCCCATTCTAGAAGGGGCAGCACTAGATGAAGTTCTTAAAACCTGTAAAACTTCTGATTTGAAGACATCTAGACCGGATAGCAAAGAACTGGAGAAATTAGAAGATGAGGTTCAAACTCTGCAGAAATTGAAGAACTTAAAAATACAGCGACGTAATAAATGCCAGCTGATGGCTTCAGTAGCTAGCCACAAATCTTTGAGGTTAAATGCTCTGGAAGAAGAAGCCACTCGGAAGCTGAAGCAGAGTCAAGGAATTCTAAATGCTGTGAATACTAAGATCAATAGTGAACTTCAGGCCATTATTGATGTAGTTACAAAATTGATGATGTTCTTTAGACATTCTAATTTAGGTCAAGGAACAAATCCACTGGTGTTTTTATCTCATTTTTCCCTGGAAAAGTATCTAAACCAGGAAGAGCAAAGCACAGCAGCGTTAACCTTATATACCAAAAAACAGTTCTTTCAAGGTATACATGAAGTAGTTGAAAGTTCAAATGAAGAAAATTTTCAACTTTTGCATATACAAACACCATCTATTTGTGATAATCAAGAAATCCTTGAAGAGAGACGACTAGAGATGGCTAAGCTACAGCTAGCATACATTTGTGCGCAACATCAGTTAATTCACTTGAAAACAAGTAATTCAAGCATGAAGTCAAGTATAAAATGGGCCGAGGAGAATCTTCATAGCCTAACTTGCAAGGTAAATATAAGTAACGAGACTAAATTTGTATTGTAATTGTTGTTAGGAATGGAGAATATAATAATGCTATTAAGGCACTTTGGAAAGGGGAATCTAATATAAAATGAACAGTTTTTAATTTTCTCTTTATTCAGTGCTTATTTGTGATAAATGTTTCATACAAATAGAGCCTTTATTAATGAATGGTAGAAATAGCAATTATAACCTCAGCCACATTATTTAGTGTATTTTAAACAAAAGTGCTTTACTTTGCATTCTCCTTTTGAAATTTGTTAATTCAGATACATACTAAACTGAAATTTTCATTTTATGATGAATGAGTAAAGAGACTAATTGCTTTATTATGAGTATTCTGCCTAGTTTACTCTGACATAGAACTAATGAAGTCAAAGGTCCACGTTCAGTGGACTGAAACCCTGATTCCTTTTTGAGCGTGTGTAGATATGTTGAAGATGATCTCTGCACTCTTAGAAAGCTTGCTTTCTTGGTAACATAATAGTTAGTTGAATAGATTATTGAATAGAAATGTAGCTTTAGGGGACCAGCAGGTGGTGTGGTGGTTAAGGCGCTGGACATTCCCACATGGCTGACCATGGTTCAAGTCCTGGACCTGGTGGCTTGCTTTCTCACTTTCTCTTTCTCTCTGTGTCTCTCTCTGGTCAAAATAAAATAAGTAAATAAATAAATAAAATTCAAAATAATTAAAAAAAAAGAAATGTAGCTTTAGTTACATTAGGTACTTGAATAAAAATGCAATTTTTCTGAATCAGAACACCAGCACCAAGTTAGTTACTATAACTGATTGTGGAATAACAGGAACTCTTATACTTTTGTAGAAGTGTTAAAATCAACTGACCAGGAAAATACCTTCTGAGACAATTGGTTTTTTTTGAGAGATTTTTTTCTGTTAGAGCACAATTGCTCACCGAAGAGAGAGACAGAAAGCAGAAATCATCCCCTTTGGGGGGATGACTATGCTGCAGCCCCACCTCCTCCATTCTCTTCTTGGGGAGTTTCAAGCCACTGGACCTGGGACTTGAACCATGATCCACTATGTGGTCCAGCATTTAACCTCTGTGCCACCTGCTGGCCCAACCTTCTGAGTTAATTTTAACTTTAAGAAAAGTTTAGGGCCAGCCCTATGACCTAGTGGTTATAGTAGCAGATCTCATATAGCCAACTGTGGTTCAAATCCTGGCCCTGGCAGCTTGAAAAACATACTGAGAACATGTGTATGCTTGCCTAAAATTCTGACAGGATGCAAAGATGTAGTAGGGTTTGTATCAATCACCCCCAGACGGGTGATTTTTCACTTTCCCTTTCTCTCTCTTTGTCTCTCTCTAGTGAGCACATATGCCTTACAGCAAATTAAAAAATAACAACAAAATTAAATAATTCTTTTAAAAGATACTTTTATAACTATTTCAAGCTTAGACATATTTTAAGTTTAGACCTTTTATAAATATTTCAGATGTGAAATGTTATTACTTTTCTTTGTGTAGGCTGTTAGCAAAGAAAATTTGGATGCCAAAATTTCTGGCTTGAACAATGAGATTCTGAAACTTGAAGAACAAATCGCTCACATGAAGCACAGAAGTTTGCCTGCTATAATAAAAGAGAATGCCCAGTTACTGAATATGCCAGTTGTAAAGGGAGATTTTGATCTGCAGATTGCTAAACAAGATTATTATACAGCAAGACAAGAGTTAGTTTTAAATCAGTTGATAAAGCAAAAGGCGTCATTTGAACTTCTGCAGTTATCATATGAAATCGAATTGAGAAAGCATTGGGACATATATCGTCAACTTGAAAATTTGGTTCAGGAACTTAGTCAAAGTAACATAGTGCTCCTCCAGCGATTAGAAATGTTAACAGATCCATCAGTCTCTCAGCAGATAAATCTAAGGAATACTATTGATACTAAGGATCATTCTACTCATAGGTATGTATGCTTCATTGTTTCTGTAGTTTTTAAATTTTTGTGAGATACGAGAATTTGAACTAAAATCGTGAAAGTTCAAACAGTTCTTTGCACTTCATTTTTGGCCCTTCTGTTCTCTTCCACTTTTTCTTTTATATGCCTCTTTTTCCTTTTTAAGTTTTTTGCTCTCTTTTCCATCCATGTTAGATCTGCAGATAACTACTTTACAGCTCAGGTGGGTAAGTTGGAAGAATGTATATATAGGCAAGATTTTATTTTCCTTTAGATACTCTTGTTTTAATTTAAAAAAAAAAATGTTTGCTATATGATGCATAAGCAGGCCAGAGAGAAACAGAGCACGGGTGGGGTATTAGTGGGAAGGTACCCCTTGAGAGGGTGGTCACACTGTAATTCCTTCTCAATTTTCTTCTCAGGGTTTTAAGAGTGTTTTTAAGCCACTTTTTCCAGGACTCAAACTGTGTAAGTCAGACATGTGGGATCCAGCCATCTTCACCACCACACCACTAGCTGGCCCCCAAGGTATCCTTTTTTATAATATTCTTTTTAAAACAAAACAAAACAAAACAAAACAAAAAAAACCCAAAGAATTACTTATTTAGGGGCTGGCAGGTGGCGTGGTGGTTAAGGGCGCTGGACTCCCATGTAGCCAACCATGGTTCAAGTCCTGGACCTGGCGGCTTTCTTTTTCCCTTTTCCCCTCTTGCTCACTCTCTTGAATTCATACTGCCCCTCTCTGGTCAAATTAAAAAATAATAATAAGTAAATAAATAAAGTTAAATAAAATAATTCTTTTTTGAGAAAGAATTACTTATTTAATAATTATCATTATTATTATTTATTTTGCTTTAGGGCTTATGAACTCATGAGAACAAGAGAGAACAAGTGAGAAAGTAAGCCATCAGGTCTGGGACTTGAACTGCAGTTGACCATGTGGAAGTCCAGCACCTTAAAAAGTAACATGCCACCTGCTGGCTCCAAGCTTTCCTTATCAACCCCTCCCCCCCCCATATGGGCATTTGTGTTCAGCAGAGAGAGGAGGAGAAAGCACCTTAATGGGAGGTGGTCACAAATGCTCCTCCATTTGTCCATCCTGTCAAGATTTGGGATATGCACACACATGTACCCAAGTGTATTACAAGCCCCCAGGACTAAGAACTGTGGTTGGCCATGTAGGATCCAGTTCCCATAACCTTTAGACTGTGTGACTGGCCCTCGACCCTATTATTTAGATACTGTATTTTAGATTTGGAACAGGAAGTTTGAGTCAGGTTGGTATAGAAAGTATTGCTTGGCAGAGTATTAACTGTGCTTAGGAGAGATCGCAATAGAGAAAAGATTTCATTTCTGCATCTAATCTAGTGAATCACTGAAATGAGTGCTAGTTCCTATCCTTTTCCTGGATATTGAATACTAGTGGAATGGAATACTGAAATTGAGAGGCTAAAGCAGCCTGAAACTTTAGAAATCTGGATCCTACTTCTGATTTTTCTCTAAGACAACAGTCAAATCATTTGATTCTTTGGTTTTATTATTAATAAAATGAGGGACTTAGATGGGCCTGCCTCATACAATTTCAGAGGAGTATTTGACATTCTGATTCACCTGAATGATATCTCCTGGAATTGTATAGTTGTATGACCAGGTTGACAGCCTTGTGCTTGAACCAATTTTATGAAGCCCATTACAACTTTTTTTTTTTTTTTTTAGTTTTTACCATAGGGCATATGAGCTTGACAGAGAGAGCAAAAGTGAGAAATTAGTCCCTGGGAGGATGGCCATACCACACTCTCTTTCTTCCTCTCACCTTTAGGATTTTTGTGCACACATCCACACGTTACCTGATGTGTTTTCAAGCCTGCAGGTCTAGGACTTGAACTGTACAGGCATTTATGTGGGATCCACATGCCTTAACCACCATGCCACTGGCTAGCTCCCCTAAGTTTATTTATTTATTTTTTTAAGAGGCTTTTGCCTTAGAGCATGTGTACTTGTCAGGGAGAGACAGAAAGACACAATGAGAAGGGAAGTGAGGAATCACTCCCCAGGGTATGGTCATGCTGCAATCCCTTCTCCTCTATTCTCCTTCTGGGATCTTACATATACACACACGTGCCCAACCTGATTTTCAAGCCACTGGGTTTGGGACTTGAACTGCAGTCCACCATGTGAGAGTCCAGTGATGTAACCACTATGTCATCTGCTGGTCCCTCCCCAAAATTTTTTATTAAATTAAAAATATATGTGTGTGCCTTTGTGTATATCTTTTTTTTTTAAGATATATTTTTAATTGCCACAAGCTACATGTACTTGCCAGAGAGAGAGCACTCCTCAATGAGGCCTGGTCACGTCATAGTCTTTTTTCCTCTATTTCATCAGATTCTCGGGCATGCACTTGACTGGTGTTTTTTTCAGGAGGGGCCAGGAGTTAAACTATTCTGGGCCATATAGAATCTAGCTTCTTATACAATGCACTTAATTGCTGTACTATAGGGCTGGCCCTTTTTTATTTGCTTGTTTTTAAATTTTACAAAAAGTATACCCATTTTTGTGAGAGAAATGTGAGAGGTACTATCTAAGATTTTTCTGTTTGCCCAATAGAATGATAGATTTTTCTGCTATTGATGTTTGTTTGTTGCTATAGGGCAGGCGTGCTCACTGGAGAGAGAGAAAGAGACAGACAGGGAAAGTGAGAAATCACCCCCTGGGGGAATGGCCACACCATAATCCCTTCTCTATTCTCCTCTCAACATTTTGGGCACACATGCACGCAGTGTGTTTTTCAAGCTACCAGGTGCCAGACTTGAACCACTAAGTTGGCCATGTGGAATCTTTTTTTTAAAGCTATGCTCCTCTAACTGCAGACTAGAGGGAATTTCTTTTTTTTTTTGGAGAGATTTTCACTATAGGGCGCGTGCGCTCGCCAGACAGAGAAAGACATAGAGACAGAAAGCAAGAAATCACCCCCCGGGGGGATGGTCACACTGCAATCCCTTCTCCATTTTCCTCTCGGGATCTTGGGCACACAAGCACACGCACCCGGCGTGAGTTTTAAGCCACTGGGTCTGGGACGCTAACTGCAGTCCACTACATGGGAGTCCAGCAACATAGCCATTATGCCAACTGCTGGTTCTCAAGGCCATGTGGAATCTTAAGGACCATGCCATCTACTGGCCTTCTACTATTAATGTTTGAAGTGTTAAAATGATGATGTGGCTCATCAAGATTTTTAATTTATCATCCAAATAAGGACAATACCGGAATAGCAAAAATTTATTATTATTTATAGCTATTTATTTATGCTAGCTAGAGAGAGACAGAAGGGGTAGAGAAGAAAGGACTTCGCATGGGGAATGGTCACACTGCAATCCTTTCTCATTCACCTTTCCCTTCTTTTGGGATTTTGGGCTTGCATGCGCATGCATCTAGTGTTTCTCAAGCTTCCTGGTGTAGGACCCACCCAAATGGCTTGGTCTCCCTGTGAGATCCAGGTGTGTTAATCACTAGGCCATGGAGCCAGTCCTATGTAACTCTTTATTGTTTACTATTTTACATAGTTTACACTATCAGCTTTTTTTTTAAATCCCACTGCAATCCTATAAAATAGGAAGATACTAAGATGCAGAAATTAAGTTTCAGAGATTGATTTGGCCTAGGTCTCACATAACAGAGAACACAGACATAGGTCCACTTTTTTGAAGATTTTTGCTACTTAAAGTTCATCACTCTTCTAGTATTGATACATCATAATTTATTTTATTAAAGAAATGTTTTTGGTTGCTGGGAGCGCTGGACTCCCACATGGCCAACTGTGGTTCGGGTCCCAGACCTGGTGGCTTGCTTTCTCACTTTCCGTCTTTCTTTCTCTCAATCTGTCCCTCTCTGGTCAAATTTAAATAAATAAATAAATAAGTAAAATAAAGTTCAATAAAATAATTCTTTAAAAAATGTTTTTTTTGGTATGTACAACTTTGAAGCTCATTTTGAAGTAGTTTATGGCAGTTAAAGTCAAGAAGAACTTTATATCTAAAATTCAGAAGTTAGAGAAACTGGGGATTCAGATGCAGTAGTAAGAATATTTCTGGGGACCAGCAATTAGTGTAATGGCTATGTGCTGGACTCCCATGTAGTCAACTGCGGTTCGAGTCTTGGACCCAGTGGCTTAAACTCATGTTGCGCGCGTGTACATGCGTGCCCAAGATCCTGAGAGGAGAGTGGAGGAGAAGAGATTGCAGTGTGGCCGTTCCCCCCTGGTGGGGGTGATTTCTCACTTTCTGTCTCTCTGGCAAGTGCACATGCACTATAGCAAAAAACAAAACAAAACAAAACAAAACAAAAAAAACCTGTCCAAAAAAAAAAGAATATGCTTTTGTACTAAAATAGTATTATATTGAGTTGTCAGAAAAGTCATGACATTTTTTTGCATAAAAAATAGAATACGTCATGACTTTTCTGACAACCCAATAGTCGGAATGGTTTTAGTTGCTTGGTTTTTGCAGCACACAAATAAATATTTTTGTGTTGTTACATAGCTAGCTCTACAAGTGCCTCAATATAATGGATTGCTATTTTTGAAAATTATATTGAAATGAACATTTTTTCTATAATTTTTATTTTTATATTTTAGGCTTTATCAACTTTTAGAGGGAGAAAATAAGAAAAAAGAATTGTTTATAACACATGGAAACCTGGAGGAAGTGACTGAGAAATTGAAAAGGGATGTTTCTTTAGTGCAAGAGCAGTTGGCAATATCTACTCAAGAGCATTCTTTCTTTCTGTCCAAACTGAATAATGATGTAGATATGCTTTGTGATGCTTTGTATCAAGGAGGAAATCAGCTTTTGCTTAGTGATCAGGTGAGTGTGTGCCATGGTAATTTAAAATGCTTTAATCAATAATATTCATTGTAAAAGATGCTACAGAAAATATTAACACAGAAAAATGTAACCCTGTTCACATTGCCTTACTATAAGATTTAATTTTTATATCTCCTCTTAGTTTTTAGTTTTTGTTCACATATAAATATATATATATATCACACACACACACACACACACACACACACATACATACACACATATATATTAAATAATTATTTAACTTTATTAATTTACTTATTTTGATTTGACCAGAAAGGGACAGAGGAAGGGGAGGGTGGCGGAAAGTGAGAAAGCTAGCTGCCAGGTTTAGGACTCAAACCGCAGTTGACCATGTGGTAGTCCAGTGCCCTTAACCACCTTTGTCTACCTGCTGCCCCCCATACATAAACATATTTTTCAGGTAGTTTTGATCAGTGTGTTCTAAATTTTAAAAATGTATAAAAATTTTTAGACACTCAAGATATTCAGTTATTATGCTAAGTATTTAGAAGAATAAAACCAGGGCTGGTAGGTGGCATGGTGATTAAGGCAGGTGGACTCCCATATGGCTGACCACTGTTTGAGTCCTGGACCTAGCAGCTTGCTTGCTCACTTTCCTTCTCTGTCTCTCTCTGGTCAACTTCAATAAAATAAAATAATGACAATGAATAAAATTAAATAAAGTAATTATTTTTAAAAAGGAAAAAATAATAAAACCATTCCCATATCTTTTTATCCATCTTAGTAAATAGAGGATTGCCCTTATATCTTCAAAATTCTCTATGTACACCTTCTAATATATGCTCTTCCTCTTATGAGTTCCCCTCTCTTCTTTGAGGAGTAACTGCTATGCCTATTTTCATTACTTGTTTAGTTTTATTTATAGTATTACACATATATAATTCCTAGACCATATATTTGATTTATGTTTTTGAACATTACACATACAATGTTTAATAATATACTTATTTCTTGACATGTTTCCCTTGTCAACTAAATGAGTGAAATATGTTTACTCCCTTTTCGTGGCCTGTCTTTTCACCCCTTTTGCTGTTTGGGGTTTTCTCTGCTCTTTCTTTTAAAAAAAACTTTTTTTGGGGGGGAGAGGGCTATAAATAGGTGCATGTACTTGCCAGAGAGAGGGAGATAGAGAAAGTGAGAAATCACTCCCTAGTTGAGATAGCCACACTTCAGTCCCTTCTCCTCCAGTCTCTGCTTGGGATTTTGGGCATGCACACACATACAACAGTGTGATTTCAAGCTTCTGGTTCAAGAACTCAAACCATGCCGTTAGTCATGTGAGATACTGTGCTTTAATCTCCACACCACCTGCTGGTCCATTAAGGATTTAAAAAAAAATCTTTAAAAAAAATTTATTATCATTATTATTATTATCCTAAAATTTTGTTATAGGGCATGTGCAATCACCAGAGAAAGAGAGAGAGAAAGCAAACCACCAGGTCTGGAACCTAAACTAGTTGGCCATGTGGGAGTTCAGCACCCCAACAGCCATGCCACCTGCTGGCCCCATTAAGGATTTTTAAAAAAATTTGCTTTAGGGAACATTTGCTCACCAGAGTGAGTGAGTGAGTAAGAGAGAGAGAAAGAGAGCACTCCCCAGTGGGGATGACCACACTGAAATCCCCTCTCCATTCTCTTAGGAATTTGGGCATATACACATGTGCCTGGAGTGTTTTTCAAGCCACTGGGTCTAGGACTCAAACCGTGCAGTCAGCATGTGGGATCCAGCTATCTTAACCACCATGCCTTCTGGCTGGCCCTAAGGATTTTAACATGATGTCATTTTTCCAGTTTGCTGTTTTGTGTTTTTTTGTTGTTATTGTTAGAGATTGTTTATGTTTTTTAATTGTCAGAGGGTGCATGTGCTCTCCATAGATAGACAGGAGAAAAAGGACCCCCTAATCGAGCATAGTTACACCACAATCCCTTCTCCATCCTGGAGTTTTGAGCATGTACCCGGTGTGTTTTTCAAGTCACTGGGCCTGGGACTTAAACTATGATCAGCCATGTGGAATCTGCTTCTCTTAACCACTAGGCTTCCAGGCCAGCCCTGTTTATTTACTTTTCTAATGCCAGAGAGTACGTGTGCATGCCACAGAGAGAGAGAGCGAGTGAGCAAGTGAGTAAGCATAAGTATTCCCCAATGGGGCCTGGTCATGCTGCAATTCCTTTTCCTCCATTCCACCTTCCCAATAAGATCCTGGGCATGAGCACACTCCTGGCCCCACTCTCTGGGTAGTTTTTAAGCTGCCAGGGCTGGGATTCAAACACCATTGTCCATGTGGACTCCTGCTTCTTACACACACAGTGCTTAGCTACTGTGCTCTGGGGCCAGCCCTATTTGCTGTTTTTTTGTTTTGTTTTGTTTTAAAGAGAGATTTTCATAGTAGGACATGTGCACTCACTGGAGAGATAGAGACAGACAAAAAGCGAGGGAGGATGGCCACGCTGCAATCCCTTCTCTGTTCTTCTCTCGGGATTTTGAGCATGCATGCACATGTGCCCAGCATGAGTTTTAAGCTGCTAGGTCCAGGACTGGAACTGCAGTCGACTATGTGAGAGTCTAGCGAGGTAACCATTATTCCATCTGCTGGTCCCCCTATTTGCTGTTTTTAAAATCTTGTTAAAGTTTGCCCTTAACATTGTAATGGTAGTGACTCTTAGTTTATTCTTAAGTTTATGACGTTCAGTTTTAGTTTTTTAATCATAGGTTTTTTCTTTTTTTTTAATGTATGATTTGAGATAGAGTTCTAATTTTTACTTCATTTTTCTCCCTATGAGTAACCAGATTATCTTGCCCCAATTTATTGGGGCACATCAATTTAAGGTCTCTGACTTTGGGGACCAGTAGGTGGTATGGTGGTTAAGGCACTGAATTTCCACATGGCTGACCACAGTTTGAGTCTTAGACCCTGGTGTTTTGAAAATCATGCCACACACGTGTGTGTGTGTGTCCAGAATCCCAAGAGGAGATTAGGGAAACCACTGTGGTGGGGCCATCACCCACATGAGGGGGTGATTTCTATCACTCTCTCTGTCTTTGTCTCTCTTGCCAGTATACATGGCCTCTGGCAAAAAACCTTGAAAAAAAAAAAGGATATCTTTTTATTTATAAAAATAATTATTTAATTCATCACTATTATTATTAGTAGTAGTATTTAAAAAAAAATTTTTTTTGAGAGGTTTTTGCTATAGGGCGCGTGCGCTCGCCAGACAGAGAGAGACATATAGACAGAAAGTGAGAAATCACCCCCCAGGGGGGATGGTCACACTGCAATCCCTTCTCCTCCATTCTCCTCTCGGGATCTTGGGCACGCACGCACATGCGCCCGGCGTGAGTTTTAAGCCACCGGGTCCAGGACACGAACCGCGGTCGACTACATGGGAGTTCAGCGACATAGCCATTACGCTAACTGCTGGTTCCCTATTTTTAAAATTTGACCAGACAGAGAGTGAAAGTGATGAAGCAAGCTGCTAGGTCCAGTACTCAAACCATGGTTGGCCGTGTGGGAATCTAGCGCCTTAACCACCATGCCACCTGATAGTACCTCTGTGATAAGTTTTTTTTTTTTTTTTTTTTAAGAAATTTTTGCCATAGGACATGCACGCTTGCTGGAGAAAGAGACAGTGAAAGGGAAAGTGAAAAATCACCCCCGGGGGTGATCATTACCACAGTCCCTTCTCCTTCATTCTTCTCCTGGAATCTTGGGGCATGCACACACACACACACACCCATCATGATTTTCAAGCCACTGGGTCCAGAACTTGTGCCATAGTCAGCCTTGTAGGAGTTCACTGATATAACCACTCCATCCACCGGTGGTCTTTTAAAAAGATCTGTTATTGATTTTGTCTTTTTTTTTTTAATTTGTTATAGGATGTGTGCAATTACTGGAGAGAGATAGAAAGTGAGAAAGCACCCCCCCGGGTGGGGGATGGCCATGCTGCAACCCATTCTCCTCCCTTCTCAGGATTTTGGATACACATGCACATAAGTCTGGCATGTTACTTAAGCCACTGGGTCTGGACTTGAACTGCACAGTTGTCCATGTGGGATCCAGCTGTGTTAACCACCATGCCACCTTGCTAGTCTATCTTCTTGATCTGTTACTAAAAGGACTGTGCAAAAATAACCATGATTGTGCATTTTAAAATGTCTCTGTGTAATTTTATCACTTTTTTCTTTATGTACAATAACCATGATTGTGCATTTTAAAATGTCTCTGTGTAATTTTATCACTTTTTTCTTTCTTTAGTTTGTCTATTTTAAAAATTATGTCCATCGGGACCAGCAGGTGGCGTTGTGGTTAAGGCACTGGACACTCCCACATGGCCGACCATGGTTTGAGTCCTGGACCTGGTGGCTTGCTTTCTCACTTTTCTCTCTCTCTGTGTGTGTCTCACTCTGGTCAAATTAAAATGGAGGAATAAGTGAATAGATAAATAAATAAATCTTAAAAAAAAATTATGTCCATGTTTAAAATTGAGTTCAATAATTAGCCTTGTAGGGAACCAGTAGTTAGTGTAATGGCTATGTCGCTGGACTCCCACGTAGTCGACCACGGTTCACGTCCCGGACCTGGTGGCTTAAAACTCACTCTGGGCGCGTGTGCGTGCATGCCCAAGATCCCAGGAGGAGAAGGGATTGCGGCGTGACCATCCCCCCTGGGGGTGATTTCTTGCTTTCTGTCTCTATGTCTCTCTCTGTCTGTCTGGCGAGCGCATGCGCCTTATAGTGAAAACCTCTACAAAATAATAATAATAATAATAATAATAATTAGCCTTGTAGATTGAAATTGTTAAAGCATTCAGTGTTATGTAATAACTTTATCACTGTAGTGCTTTTTTGCCTTTTTTTTTTTTTTAAAGTTTATGTATTTTTTTCTTTCATGAGCAATACAGAGCTAGATGGATAGTACCTCCAATAGGATCCTGATGCTGTGATTTACAACCAGCCTCACATTGTAGGCATATATGTGCCCACTTAGTCAAGGTAGTTTCTGGTCACAAACGTGGAACTTTGCCATGTGGGTCACTTTCACAGAACCTTGTGTTTTATTGCTGTGGTCAATGCTTTTTGTCTTGATATTAATTCATTTGATATTACTATTTCTGTCCCATCTTTTCATCTTTCTTTTGATGTTCATAATTACAAGGCATAGTATTTTCTTTAATTGCCAGAGGGTGTGTGTGCTTGCCAGAGAGAAAGCATCCCCCCACTAGGGCATGGTCATGTCACAGTCCCTTTTCCTCTATTTCTCCACCCCATCAGGTTTTGGGCAAACACACACATGTACCAGGTCTTCGTTTTTTCAAGCTGCTAGTCCTGTTTTTTTTTTTTTTCAAGTTGCTAGTCCCCATGTACAACACTTAGCGACTACTCTCTGAGGTCAGCCTCATCGAGTTTTTTTTACTTACATATGCTTTTTTCTTAATTACAGATATCATGTGTTCTTGTCAGAGAACATGAGCCCTCCCTAACAGTGCATAGCCACACTGTAGTCCCTTCTCCATTCTGTCAGGATTTTAGTCATGCATGTACACATACCCAGTGTGTTGTTCAGATAGCCTTGGCCTAGATTCAAACCTTAGTTGGCCATGTGGGATCTGGCTCCCTTTTATTTATTTATTTATATTTATTATTATTTTGTAGAGATTTTTAATTTTTTAAATTTTTAAATTTTTTTTTGCCTTAGGGCACAGTGCTCATTGGAGAGAGAGACAGGTACAATGAAAGGAAAGTGAGAAATTACCACCCAGGGGGATGGCCACAGCATAATCCCATCTTCTTCATTCTCCTCCCAGGATCTTTAGCACTCATGCACTTATGCCAGGCATGAGTTTCAAGCCACCAGGTCTGAAACTCAAACTGTGGTCAACCACGTGGAGTCCAGCGCCTTAACTACTATACCAACAGCTGGTCCCTCTGGCTTCCTTCTAGCTAAACTGTAGGGCCAGTGCTACATATCTTTTTTAATTCTTCCTTTTTACTTGGTAATATGAAATACATAATTTTACTTGGATTTTTTTTGGGGGGTGGTGGTGGTGGTGGTTTTGTCTTTAATCGTGAGAAGGCTTGTGTGTTTACCAGAGGTCAGGGGGAGAAAGCACCCCACCCCCAAAGATCGTAGTCATGCCATAATCCCTTATCTATCTTTCTATTCTGTCAGAATTTTGAGCATGCACATACATGTGCCCAGCTTGTTTTTCTAAGCCCCTCAGGCTGAAGTTCAAACTGCAGTTGGCCATGTGTGATCTGGCTCTCTCTAATCATTAGACTACAAGGCTGCCCCACCATTTATACTTTCTAAGTACTTTCCTTTGTTATTAATGGTACAGTATTCTGATTTATTACTATGCAATAATTTCTGTAAAATAGTCCATCATTATGATAGTTTTTGGGTTTTGTTTGTTATTGAACAACATGTATAATGTTGTATATATAGCTTTTGTTTTAGATACTTAAATAGGTTTATTTTTTGGAGAGGTTTTTGCTATAGGGCCCATGCACTCGCCAGAGAGAGAGAGACATAGAGACAGAAAGCGAGAAATCACCCCCCAGAGGGGATGGCCACGCCACATTTCCTTTTCCTCCATTCTCCTCTCAGGATCTTGGGCATGCACGCATATGCGCCCGGTGTGAGTTTTAAGCCACCGGGTCTGGGACACGAACTGCAGTCAACTACATGGGAGTCCAGTGACATAGCCATTACACTAACTGCTGGTCCCTAAGAGATTTCTTTTTATAAAAGAGTTATTTATTTAATTTGATTTATTATTATTTTTTAATTTGCTATAGGGCACATGTGTTCCCCAGACAGAGACAGAGAGGGAAAGTGAGAAAGCAAGCTACGAGATCCAGGACTCAGACTGTGATTGATCATGTGGAAGTCCAGCATCTTTACCACCATGTCACCTGCTAGCCCCATAGTCAACAAATTCTTGAAAGTAGGATCACTGGGATTTTTCTTTTTTAAGTTTAATATTTTGATTTTTTTAAGTTTTGCACTAGCTGGAGAGAGAGAAAGGAGCAAAGTGAAAAATCGCCCCCTGAGGGAATGGCTATGTTGCAATTCCTTCTTCTCCATTCTCTCAAGATTTTGGGCGTACATGCACACATATGATTTTTAAGCCGCAGGTCTGGGACTTAAAAACCACACATTTGACTTTGTTGGATTTAGCCACCTTAACCACAGTGCTGCCGGCTGGCCCTCATTGGGATTTCTTTGAGTATAAAGATTAATATGGCTTTTTGCTTTTGATAATGACATATTGCTTCTGAAGTAGTACTTTTTTTTTTTTCCCTTGTGCAATGCCACTAGCTCTGTTTATCTGCTAGGCACCATTTAATCATATGGTACAGCACCTTTATTAAGATACTGAGTCTTGCTGGTATAATCCTCCTGGCTCAAGCTCCCTAGTAGCTGAGACTATAGACATATATTCCCACCCCACTTCTTGGCTTGAATTTACAAGCATGTCTTATTCTTAAGAAGAAATAATGTGATAAGTGAGGATGGATTTTGTCAAAAGTTATTTGTGATTCTATCCTGTAAGACAATATGAGAAAAAGAAAAATGGAGATTTTTGTTAAGATAATTTTTTGTTAGTCAAGAGTTTCTCTCTGTTTCCTTTGTCCAGAGTCAACAAATAAGGTGAAAACAGAGTTTGATTAGTTAAGCAGAAAATAAACTCTAGGAGGGAAATTTTGTTCATTCTTATACCTACCTATAGCCTCTAAAACAGTGGTAGACATTCTGTAATATTTGTTGATATTTGAATCCACAAAATAGTTTACATATTGAGTGCTTTTCAGGAAGTAAGAGTTTACTTTGAATCATTTAAAATTACCTATCAGAAGTTGTAGTAAATCTTACACCTAATTTATACTAAGTCTAGCATGGGTTTTTAAGTGAAATTTATTTACTGCTAAGGTTATGGGAAGTTATTAATCCTTTAGAGTCTTACATGTAAATTACATTTTAAATTTATAAATGGTTTTAGGAATAAAGTTATTGAATTAAAAGTATTTTAATTCTTTTCCCTTTTTTAGGAGTTAATGGAGCAGTTTCATCATGTTGAATCTCAATTGAATAAGCTCAATCATCTCCTTACTGATATTCTTGCTAATGTGAAGACAAAAAGAAAAATTTTGGCAAATAGTAAATTTCATCAAATGGAGAGAGAATTATATGTATATTTTTTAAAAGATGAAGCTTATCTGAAAGATATTGTGGAGAATTTAGAAAACCAATCAAAGATTAAGACTGTTGCCATTGAAGATTGAAAATGATTAAAAACGGAATCTTTTCTATACATGCTGTTTTTTAATGTTTTATGTATTACTAGAAGGAATACACATCTAATAAACACTAAACTTTAAAATTTGAGGTCAAGAGAGTGCTTTATTTAGTTGATTTGTGTGTGCCAGATTGTTCCCCCCCATAACACGTTTGTTCAAAGTGCCTGTGCTTTTATGACTTGAACATTTGCTTGGTAGCACTTAGTGTCATTTTTTACTTATAGGGAAAAAACATTATATAACAAAAGAAAATTATTTCTTTTTTAGAGAGATATTTTTGCTTTAGTGTGTGTGTGCTAGCCAGAGAGACGAGAGAGAAACAGAAAGCGAAAAATCACCCTCAAGGTAGAGTGGCCATGCTGCATACCCTTCTACTCCATTTTCCTCTTGGGATTTTTGGCATGCATGCATAACCTCCCAGTGTTGGTTTTAAGCTGCTGGCTCTAGGACTCGAACCACAGTTGACTCTGGGAGTCCAGCAACATAACTATTATGCCATCTTCTGCTCCTATAACAAGTGTTTTAATATAATTATATCTCTACTATTTTCTTAAACATAGACATTTTATGCTGTCAAATACTTTTAAAATTAATAGAACTTTGAGTCAAAATTTTAAGATCAGGAGGCCTTATGAAATAACTAAACTCATTTTGTACTATAAAGTTATAATTCTACAGCTCAGCTGTATTTCCCCATAATTCTCTGTTCATAGATTTTGAGACAGTTTGAATGCTGCTACTTTTGCTAGAAAGAGTGCAAGGACTCCACTGGCAGGACTATATTTTATGGGCAGGATTCTGGGGACCTAAAGTTTCTACCAGACATATCAACAGTGCTTTGACTTTAGTGTGACACTTTATAGATGACTTTCACACTGAATTAGAAATTTAAATTTCAAAATTTAATAGGGTTGGTTGCTCTTAAGTATATAAAATGATATTTTAATCAGTTTCTTAGGAATAAAAATACTTTCATATTGGATTATATTTAATATGGGAGTGGCTGATTAGAAATTATTTTAAGTAATGATATAAATTGATGTGTAGTTTACCAATATTATGTAAAATGCCTCTTGAGTGCCTGGTTTATACATGGCTTGCATGTACTACTATGTGAGTTTTATTAGGAATAACTTCAAGAATATTCCTTACCTAGTTGTGAAAAGAAATACTGATCTAAAAATCACACATTCCAGGTGGTCTTTATAGAATTTTCTCAGCTCTAACCATCAGAAAATGGGCATACTTAGGTGACAGACGAGCCCTGTTGACTTTTGTAATCCATTGGACAAAAATGTCTTACCAATTATATTTGTATGCTATCTAAAATTTTATATTAAGTAAACCACATGAAGAATTTGTAGCAGTAAATGTTGAAGAGTTTTCTATTTACCCACTTCAGTAACATTTTTAAAAAGTTCAATCTTGTATAGACAATTTGCTTTACATTTTTTTTTCTCTAATTGGAAAAATATTTCAGCTGGTTTACTGGCTTATGGTAGCAACTTCTGTTTGAAAGTACCAGATATGTTAGATTTTGACCAGATGCTTGATGATTTGTATTGTCTCCATGTAGACCTTTACCTGCTCAGCCTAGGGAACCAATAAGGCTGAATAGTACAAGACTGACAGGTTGCATGTCTGCCATTATCACCTAAGTCAGTTATAATTATTTGATTTGTGTTTTCTTTCTTTTAAAGAACTATTCCACTTAACTTTTTTTATCCATTTATTTATTTATTTATTTATTTTAATTTGACCAGAGAGGGATAGAGTAAAAAGAAAGTGAGAAAGCAAGCTATCAGGTTTGGCACTTGAACTGCAGTCAGCCATGTGGGAGCCTAGCGCCCTTAACCACCACTCCAGCTGCTGGCCCTGATTAGACAGGTTTTTGAACATTTGCCCCTTCAAATAATCTTCTGTTTTCTTCTGGAACTCCCACTATGTGTAGTGCTGGTACATTTTAGCATCCCACAGGGACCTCCAGTTTTGTTCATTTTAAATTTCTGTTCCTCAGACAGAATTTCAACTGGCTGATGTTCAAGTCCTTCTGTGTTCAAATCTGCTGCTGAACTCTCCAGTGGGCTTTGTCATTTCACTCATACTTTTCTCTATAGGGCGTGTGCGCTCGCCAGACAGACAGACAGAGACATAGAGACAGAAAGCGAGAAATCACCCCCCAGGGGGGATGGTCACGCCGCAATCCCTTCTCCTCCATTCTCCTCTCGGGATCTGGGGCACGTGCGCACATGCACCCAGCGTGAGTTTTAAGCCACTGGGTCCGGGACGCGAACTGCAGTCAACTATGTGGGAGTCCAGCGACATAGCCATTACACTAACTGCTGGTTCCACCCTCTGTCCAAAAAAAAAATTGTCTAACTAGAAAATAAGTACTTTATATTTTTACCATGATACCCTGATTGAATCTCTAGCTATTTGGTTTTTTTTTCTTACTATACTATCTGTATTATATAATAAGTAATACATATTTTCTGTGGTTATTTATATAGGTATTAATATATATATATATTTTAATGATAGAATGTGTGCATTCACACAGAGAAACGCCCTCCACAGCATCTTGTTACTCCATGATCCCCTTTCCTCAGCATTCCAGCTCATTAGGATCTTGGGCTCCTTTGCACATTCCTAGCCTGCTTTAAGGCTGTTGACCCAAACCTTTGTCAGTCACATGGCTTCCAGCACTGCAGCCCAGTATTGACTGTCACCAAGGCTAACTCTAGGACTCGAACCACAGTTGACTCTGGGAGTCCAGATAATAATAAAGGTTTTTAAAATGAAAATCTCAGTACATAAAGCTTTCAGATAACGTAATTGTGATTCTTATTTTGAAGTCTCAAAATTAATATATGGGTATCTTATGTTAATCTTATGTTTAGGATCTTATGAAAATGGAAAATTATGAGGCATTTGTAGGCTTTGATCTCTATAAGACACCGCTCTCCAGTGTTGCCCAGAAGATTATGTCTGCTATCCATGCAAGTGATTTAGTGGATTCTAAGAACTGGGCAGAGAGTACACAGAGTAAGTAATTTGTATAAGCCTTTCTATCTTGTTACTCTGACTGTTGCTCTTAAGACTAAGAATTGGAAATGAAATGTATGTGGGGACAGCTGGTGGTGTGGTTAAAGGTGCTGGATTCCCACAAGCCGATCTGGTTACCAGACCTGGCAGTTTGCTCTTTCGCTTTCCCTTTCTCTCTCTCTCTCTCTGGTCAAATTAAAAAATAATAATAACAAATGGAATTAAATAAATCTTTATAAAAAATGAAATGTATGTAGCAAAATTATTTTGTTATGTTTTGTAGGGAAATTCCTTCCATTCCTACAGATGAAGCGCAGCTCCTACCCTCTATATATGCTGAACTCACTAAATTTTATGTTCCCATAATGTCATGTTCTTTTTTGTTCTAGGCATTTCTGTCAAGAATTACCTTAGAATGTGGATCAGGTGTTTAAGTATCTTTTATTAATTTTTTTATTAAAAATATGGAACGCTTCACGAATTTGTGTGTCATCCTTGCGCAGGGGCCATTCTAATATTCTCTGTATCGTTCCAGTTTTTAGTATATGTGCTGCCGAAGCGATCACTAGGTGTTTAAGTATCTTTTTAAGAAATAGGTTCTTTCACAGTGTCTCTTGCTTCATTCTTGGCTCTGGAGTAATTGCACCTATATATAGTATTTGCTAAAATTGTGGTGAATAAGAACTGTTTTTGACAATATGTGTCATAGAAATGTTTAAGTTCTTAGATGGTAAATATTAATGTATATGTGTTTGTGACATTTGGTATAATAGTAAAAACAGTGACATATGCTCACAAGTGTGCCTGAAATGTTTATAGCATGTTTGTAAATGTTTATAACTTTTTTTTTTTGCTACTGGCAAAACAGTTTTTATTTTGAGTTATAAGTCTGGGCCAGTGATTTGAGTTTTATTTCTTTTTGGATAGAATAAGTTATCAGTGAGAAAAATATGATTGAATGATTATATTGAGATAAGATGATAGTATTGCCAAATATTAGTTCAAAGGCCATTATAGACAGTTTAGTAGCACTTAGTTTTTCAATCTATTCTTATTCAGGCATCTGTTTCTTATATGCTTTATTGTAGTAGTTGTTATCATTAAATAAACTAGTAAGAATTTTTGGGTGTAGACTGTATACCTAGCAGTTTATAGTGTTTCAGAGGAATAGAGGAGATATTAAAGAAAGGTAAGATAAATTTTTGAATACTAAATATTCTTTTTTTTTTAAGTTTTATTTTTGCTATAGGGCATGCGCACTTATCAGAGAGAGATGGGGGTGGGGGATAGGGAGAAATCACCCCCCTTTCTGGATTTTGGAGACATGTGCATGCGCCCAGTGTGATCTTCAAGCTGTGTGGTTCAGGACTTGAACTGTAATCAGCCATGTGCAGTCCAACCCCTTAACCTCCACACCTTAACCTGCTCACCCAATACTAAATATTCTGTAATATCCTCTTCATTCCTCACAAAACACTTATTGATTGCTAGGTATATAATCCATACCCAAGGTTCTTACTGGCTCACTTATTATCCCATATACCTTTTATAATAATAGAGCAGTGAACATTTTATAGAGGTGGAAATATTGGGTTGCTGGAAAAGTCATGACGTGTTTTTGCATAGAAAAATATGTCATGGCTTCAGATGACCTAATACAGTTTACATTAAGAGCTAATAAGGGGCTGACTCTGTGGCTTGGTGGTTAAGACCTCTGTATCCCATATGACTGAGCAGTTTGAGTCCTGGACCTGGAGGCTTGAGAATCATGCCAGGTTTGTGTGCATACCTAAAATCTTGAAAAGAGGGAGAGATGGGGGAAAAGAGATTGCAGTACCCATGAGGATGCTTTTTCTTCTCATTCTGTCTGTCTCCTGTGAGCTCCTGTACCCTATAGCAAAAAAAAAAAAAAAAAAAAAAAAAAAAAAAAAAAAAAAAAAAAAAAAAAAAAAAAACCTGATAAAAATTGTGAAATGCATCTGTTAGCTATAAGTCTGATGTGAACTCTTGTAATAGTCCATTACATATCCT